GGACCGATGACCCAGATGTGCAAGTGCGAGAGATATAAGCGCGCTAACGAAGCAGTCAGAGCCGGAGCAGGGGACGTGCGGCGGCTGCGATGGGGGATGGGAGCAACTTTAGCTTCATCGGCTTGGAGAGGGGCAGGCGGTGTCGTAGAGTGAGATGCCGCCAAATAATTAGATGGAAAGGTTCTCGAAGGCGAGACGGCGTGACTGAATTTTGAGTGTGCTGGTGAAGTGGAAAGGTTCCCGAGGGCGGGATACGAGTGCGGATGTTGAGCGTGCCGCTGAGGTAGGAAGGTTCTCACGTACGGGACAGGGTGGGTGGAGGATGAACGTGCGTTGAGTTTGGTGGTCACTAGTTTGAGAGTGATAGTGAGCGTGAGATCTCGACAGGAGGGCGCGTAGATGGTAAGGGGAGAGGACGGAGATGCGGGTGGGGTTGGAGAGCTCGCCGTGAACGCAATGGGAAAAGAAAGTGCAATGGGACGCGGGGGGAAGGAGACGTAGAGTGTGTCAGTCGTTTCGCTATTTCGTCGATTTAGCGAAAAATGAGTTGGCCGCTTCAGCGTTTTGTGAGACACGTATGGTGGGTGGCATACGTTTCACAACATTTGACCAGTAACGAAATCATTTTTTTGCGTAAACCCTCTTATGTTGGAATGATTCGCAGAATGCAATGTCATTGCTGTTTTGTAAAAGAGGGAGGCGGTTTTTTTCCATTTTCTGAGGGGGAGCGTGGTGTTCGGTGGTGAGGTCAGGTCGAGTGGTGTCCCCGCTTTTTTCCCGCGGCGCCCGTCACCCCCACTCTTTTATTTCTACGTAATTCCTTCTAGAAGCGTCCACGCGTCCGGCCCGGATCCCCCCAGGCCGCCCGCGTGCGCTTCTGTAAAATTCAAATAAAATCTCGGACTACAGTAAAAAATCTCCCTCTACAGTAAAATGTAATTTTCCCTAAAAATATCTCACAGGCATGCAGCACGAAACATGAGCATAGCTCAGGGCATAAGTGGAATGAATGGATGAATGGAGTGCGAGCAATCGCTATAAGCAATAGGCGAAAAGAGCAGCTATTGCCGTTCTTCTCGAACGGTGTGGTTTTGCCGATAAAGATTGTCACATTTCGAAATAAAATATGCAGACCTCGAGTTTACTCCAACAATGACATTGCACAAATATTTCACTGTAAGATCGACATGCTGTCACTAAACTAGCGGTGGGCATAGATACAGGATCAATGCGAAGTTGAACTCTGCGATCGGAAGACATCGCGTCTTCGCTGAAACACGTAGTGTTCGCCAGAAAAACCGAAACACCTACTGTTTCGGCAGCTCCCGGCAGAACTGTACCCAAAATTCCCCCGCCATTACTTAAATATTCACTGCACCTAATCTAGGCTTGTTAAACTCCCACCGAACCACACAAATTCACAAAACACAACACCGACATCCCACCACCCATCAAGAATGCCGCAAAATCCCTCCATTCCCGACCCCGCAGCTGCCCTTGACATTATTGCAGAGCATGCCGCGCGTCGCCAAGAAGATGTGGAGAAGTATGATAACTCTCCAGACCTTTCTGAAACCGACGACGTTTCAGAGAGCGATTGTCCAGTTCTGCAAACTTTCTTCGAAGAAAATGGAACTCAGGCAATCATGGATATGACCAATTTTACTTTCAACGAGTTTACAGGAATTTGGAACCACCTCTCGGAGCACGTTCTGCAGCACTATAACACAGGAAGAGGCAGTAAATCTCCCATAAAAGCGAAGGATCTCGTTTTTATGACATTCGCAGTTCTGAAGCACCGTGCCAAGTGGGACATGATGGCCTATTTATTTGGAATGAAAGCACCAATATTTGAGAAAAGAATTAACAAGATGATTCACATTATTTCGGACTACGCGTATCAAAAGTTTGTTGTTCATTATGAACAACGTTACACAATGTCCAGGCTCATAACCGAGAAGAAAACATTTCGGAAATTTCAGATGTGTCGTTATGCCAGTGATGTGACGTTTCAGCAAAGCTTCCGTCCCGGTGGCTCACTTGAAGAATCAAAGAAATTCTTCTCTGGAAAGCACAAACTTTACGGCTTTAAGGTCGAAGTTTCTGTATTACCAAATGGAATTTCCATCAATTCAAGCAACCACTACCCTGGCTCTGTCTCGGACATAGAAATAATGCGAAAAAATATTTGGGTTTCATGTTGACGCGTTTGAAAAATCAAGCGAGGAGAAGGCCATCGTGGCCATCGGCAACGTGGTGGACGAGCACGAAGATAGTTGGGCGGTGCTTCTCGATAAGGGACTCACAGGCATTGACGGAGAAATACGTGCGATACTGCCCAAAAAGAAGCCACGAGGCGGCATTTTGACCGCGTCTGACAAGCGCCAGAATGAGAATCAAGCATCCTACCGCGTCGTGGTCGAAAATTTTTTGGGAGGCAGAGCACTCTTTGGTGTGTTGTGGCGAATAAGTACAGGTGGTCTGAGAGTTCTTATGATATTATTTTTCGACTGACGCTTGCTTTCACAAACTTACATATCCGGTGGCATCCAATTCGAGACGCAGACGAGAAAACGTACGAAAGGTACGTTAAATGTCTGCACGAAATTGCGGAAACTGGTGTTAGGAAACGCAAAAGAGCCCAAGCTTCCTATCGCAAGCGCAGAAGGCGTGTTATGGAGCGTTGTGTGCGGGGGCGCGATGAAGAGGAGAATGCTGGTCATTTGTTGGATGATGAAGACGAGGAGGAGGAGAGCGCCTGATCAACTGTACTCGAGACTCTCTCGCCCGGCGCTAGACGCCCTCTCCCCCGCTCCGCTGAAACGCGTATCGGCCCCAGCAAGCGAGTGTCATTCTTGCGTGCTATTCTTGCAGCCACTCTGCTTCCCGCCCTTGTCAAACCCCCCCGATATCCCGGAACGGACACCGGCGGCCGCGATGCAGAAACTACAGCCATCCACAACTACTAAAATCCGTGTCTGTGTGTCTGTCTGTATGTCCTTGCGCTCCCGCGTTGCCATTGGCGCACGGGGGCGGCGCCGCGGTGACAAGTGGCGGCCACGTGCGGGGCGGCCTGTGGCGACATGTGGTGGTTTTTTCACAGGCCAGGCCGCCACGGGGACACGTGGCGTGACAAGTGGCGACACGTGGCGGTAAAATTAATTTTATTTTGAATTTCGAACTGTTACACCAATGCCGCACTACAGTAGCGTGCCGGTGACAAGTGGCTACACGTGGCGGCGCCCCTGGTGACAAGTGGCGGTGAGGCGAAAGCGCGCACGAATAGAAACGTTTTTTACATAGCGGCACGTCGGCAGCACAGTACCGGCTTTCGAGTTCAACAACTTTCAGCAAATTTTCACCACGTGACGGCTCCGTGGTAGCGTGGTGACCAGAGTCTGGGCAAAGCAGCGATCGTGATTCTATGCCGGCTTAGTAGTGGGTTGAATACGGCATTCCCCGCGAAAAGTTTACCGGATTGCTTGACGGCATCCGGATAGTCCCTAGGGGCAATTGCGCTTTGCTTTTAGTAAAGCGTGGTAGTCTGCCGCTGTGCAGGAAGCCTAATCCGATAGCGCACCATTTCTTGGTGTTGTAGTATCGAGCTCGGAACAACGGCCTCCGCAGAGCAATCTGCGGACGTCGGACTGACGTTGTTTTCAACGTCGACAACGAAGACCAAACGCAGCCTCCGTCAAACTATAGAGGCTGCAAGAACACCCAGTGTAGGTGCCGTTAGGGCTTAGGAAACCTAACCACCGCACTGAGGGCAAAGGGAGCGCGCGTACTTAGCGACCCCGGCGGGAAGAGCCTTGCAAGAGGTTCTTTCTAATACCGGGCTCCCTGGGAGTAGAAATAGACAAGGTGGTCGTACTCTGAGTATAATTAATACTGTACCCTGTGTATAATAGGACCATTAGTCTATTTCTATTTCTATTTCGTTTTTGGTTCTTTTGAATCACGGGATAGTACAAGACAATAAAGGCTCTATATTGTTACTCTTTTGCTAAGTGCTCTTGCGGACGACCTAGCTGGCTGACGTTGCGTTTAGACCTTTGAGGACTGCTTGCTACGACTCATTGCGATCTACAACGGACCCCTCGCACTTGCGTCAACCCTAGCTGCACTTGCAGGGATAACACTAGCGCGCTGAGCAGAACATAAATGGCGGGAACAGCGGGCGAAGACGTGGCAGAGGCAAGACGGCAGCAAAGAAACGCGCGTGAAAGGGAAAGAAGAGCGCAAGAGTCTGAATCTGACGCTCAAGCACGTCGTGAGGCACGTCGAGCCCGTGCGAGAATCCGGACGGGGCAACAAACCGAATCTCAGAGGGAAGCGCGTCGTCAAGGCGACCGTGAACGTACTGCAGCACAAAGAGCAGCAGAGACGTCTGAGCAGCGCGAGGAGCGTCTCCGTCGACTGAGGGAGAGAGCCAGGGCGCGCAGAGCGGGAGGAACCACCCCCCTCCGAAATGCATGGCGCGAAGCGGATCGCATTGCGACACGATGCGCTAGAGCGGAGGAATGTACTCCTATTCGTGACGGGCGGCGAGAATCGGATCTTATTGCAACGCAAAGAGGCCGAGCCGAGGAAAATACTCCACTGAGATCTTCGAGACAGGAGTCGAATCGCTTGGCAATCCGACAAGCGAGAGCTGTGGATATATCCCCCGTCATAGCTGCGCGGCAAAGATCCGACCGCCAGGCTCGAAGTGCCTCTCGACAGCTCTTCCCTCTACTACCCGAGTCCTCTCCGTCGTACCGCGATCTCGGCATGATCCGTGTTGAGTGTTCGCACTGCAAAGCTCTGCATTTCGTCCAAGAACGCATCGGGAGCAGCTCTGCCGCAAGGCCCTTTTTTCCACATGCTGTGGGAAGGGGAAGCTGTCATTGCCGCTTCTCCCCGACCCGCCAGCTGTTCTGCGCTCTCTTCTCATCGATGATACTCCAAGGGCCCGCAGCTTCCGTAAGAACATTCGAGCATACAATGTAGCGCTATCGATGGCATCCGTGGTCGCCAAATGGGTGAACAGAGGTCCCGGTCCTTCTAATTTTAACCCCACAATGACGATGCAGGGCGGGATGTACCATTACATGGGTCCCATGATTCCATCCGAAGGGCGGGCGCCTTCCTATGCTTCCGTTTACATTCATGACACTAACTACGCCACCCAGACGCGCACAAGGCTTGGAAACTCTAGACAACTGGAAGAGGCACTGATGACGCAACTGACACACATGCTGCACGAATGCAACCCCTACGTGCAGACTTTTCTATGTATGCGAGAATGGGCTCAATCTCCTCACAACAACACTCCTGCCACGTACCAGATGGTCATCCATGACGACCGCAGGCCAAGTCATGAGCACGTGCGCCGGTACAATTGTCCCGAAGCTTCTGAAGTCGCCGCATTGATCCCTGGAAATGAAGACGGAGAGATTGGGCGAAGATATATCGTCGTGCGCAGGAGACGGACTCTGAACAGTAACGGGAACGAAGTGCTGGATCCGATTTCAGTCAGTCATCGCGCATACGATCCATTGAGTTACGTGCTTTTGTTCCCGAACGGTAGAGATGGATGGTATCCAGAGCTTCGATTCTCCAGTGTTCAAGACGGCAGACGTACCAAGATTACTCCGATGATGTACTACGGATGGCATTTGTTCGAAAGAGCTGGCGAGTTCAGCACAATCTTGCACGCAGCACGACTATTTCAGCAATACTTGGTTGACCAGTTCTGCAAAGTGGAGGCAGAAAGGCTTTCTTATCTCCGCCGCAACCAGACACAACTTCGAGCCGCCGACTACACCTCACTCGGCGACAGCCTAGGAGACTCCGGTCGTGCTGAAGATGAAGCCGATGCCGTGCGTGCGGGACCACTGTTCATTCTCCCTTCCACGTACATTGGAGGTGACCGCTATATGAGGCAGCAGATGCACGACATCATTGCTATATCGAACCAAATTGGCCACCCGGACATCTTCCTCACCATGACATGCAACCCAAGCTGGCCGAAGATCACAAGAGCCCTACTGCCGAACCAAACGCCTCAGGACAGACCGGATCTGTGCGCACGTGTGGTTCGTCTGAAAATGAAAGATCTCATGTCCTTGGTCATCAACGAAGAAGTATTCGGAACCGTTGTTGCCCATGTACGAGTCATCGAGTTTCAGAAACGCGGTCTTCCCCACGCTCACGTAGTATTTTTCCTAGATGAAGTCTCCAAGAATGATCTGCGTACTCCCGAAAACGTCGACCGCATTATCTCTGCCGATATCCTGTCTGCCCAAGATCCAGAACTCCAAGAGGTCGTGCTCAAGCATACGATTCACAATCCATGTGGAGAACACAATCCAACAGCTGTGTGCATGGGCGAGCGGTACTGCAGGAAAGGGTTTCCAAAATCGTTCAAACACGAAACCAGCCAGTCCGACAGTGAGTACCACATCACGTACCGAAGAAGGGCACCCTCTGCAGGTGGCGTCTCCATCGAGCGATCCTCCCGTATTGGCCGACGACAGCAACCCGTCGTGGTAGACAACTCCTGGGTCGTTCCCCACAGTCCTGTGCTTCTACGTTCATTCGCTTGCCATTTGAATGTTGAACTCTGCGTGTCACGCGTTGGCGGAATCAAGTACCTCTTCAAGTATGTGTGCAAGGGACAAGACCGAGTGACCATGGAAATCACTGCCGAGAACGAGCGCTACGACGAGATCTCCAACTTCCAAGATGCCAGATACGTTTCGGCATCGGAGGCCGCATGGAGGTTATTCTCCTTTGACATTGTAGACCGCAATCCTCCAGTAGTCAGGCTTGCAGTGCATCTGCCCAACCACCACACGGTGTACTTTGAGGAAGGGCGAGAGCAGGAGGCGGCGCTTCGACCAGCAACACGCACGAAGCTGACCGAGTGGTTTAAAGCCAACGAGAAGTACCCAAGCGCGCGGCATATTCGGTACCACAAGTTTCCAAGGTACTTCACGTGGAAGACACACACCAAGTCATGGAGTCCAAGAGCAACCCTGCGAAGACGGAACGCCAGCAGCGAAGAGGAAGCCTACGATTTCAGTGGTACAGGTGTCAACGTAGTCGGTCGAATCTACACTGTCAGTCCGAGGGAGGGTGAGCGCTACTTTCTTCGCCTCCTCCTCACACAAGTGCCAGGTGCAACATCCTTCGAGAACTTGCGAAATATGGACGGCGAGCAGTGCACCAGCTTCCGACAAGCTTGCTTACGACTCGGTTTGCTGGCCGACGATGACGAGTGGAAGCACGCAATCCGAGATTCATTCCGGTCAAGCTTCGTTCCTCTTTCTCATCTGTTTGCTACGATTCTGGCACACTGCCAGCCTTCGGACCCTTTCTCGCTGTGGAACGACCACCTGGACATGTTTCTCACCGATATTCGCAATCGTGCACGCGGACAACCCATTCGAAGACAGCAGCTTCGCGATGATCACCACGCCACATCTTACGTGCTTCGAGAGGTACAGGAGGCCCTGCAGACCGTGCGTTCCGACTGGACGCTCGAAAACTTCGGACTCCCACTGCCCGATGACAGCCTTCCGGCTTTGGAACAGCAAAACGAGATCGAGACCCCCGAAGCAAGAGCGCAGCAGTGGGAAGAGCGACTACAGACGTCGTTGCCGCTGTTGAACACAAATCAACGCCATGCCTTTGACGAAATAGTGGGCTCCATGCTTCCAGGCGTATCCGTCTCTGCATTGCTTCAAGGATCCTCAAGCGCCGTGGCCGGACCTTCTATGCCGACACGAAGTGGTCGTCTCTTCTTCCTCGATGCTCCTGGCGGAAGAGGCAAAACATTCGTGCTCAGCGCCATTCAAGACTTCCTTCGTACGCGCCGTAAGCAAGTCATCGCTGTCGCTACGTCTGCTGTTGCTGCTGTGTTGCTCGACGGTGGACGCACCGCTCATTCCGTGTTCAAGGTTCCCATTCCTGTATCTGCCGAAAGCACGTGCAGCTTCTCCGCAAACTCCGACACTGGCCGTACACTGCAACAAGTCGATCTCATCGTATGGGACGAGATCGTCATGTGCCATCGACATTGCATTGAGACTGTCGATCGCTCCCTTCGCGACTTGATGCAAACCGACCGGCCCTTCGGAGGAAAGTTCCTCGTGCTCGCTGGAGACTTTAGACAAATCCTTCCCGTCGTTCCGGGCGGGTCCCGAGGTCAAATCGTGAGCGCGTGCGTCAAGGCTTCCCCGCTGTATCGAGAGTGCCGATTCCTGCGCCTTACCGAGAACATGCGCCTTGCTGCTCTCCGAGCGGACCCTGCAGCAGATTTGGAGGCTCTCAACTTTCCAGAGTTTCTCCTCAGCGTCTGGGAAGGCAGACTTAACGGCGAACAGCGCCCGGAATGGATCTCACTACCACAGTCGGTTGCGTTCGAGCATACCATCCGCAATTTATGCCTCAAGGTCTTCCAAGGGATTCGAGACAATCACGCCGACCCTGTCTGGCTCACCAAGCGCGTTATACTCACCACAAAGAACAGGCCGCTCGAGGAAGTCAACGAGGTCATCGGCAACATGATTCCGGGACCGTGTCGAACGTATTTGAGCGCAGAAAAGGTCGAGAACGAAGACACCAACGCGCTAATCTGTCCCACAGAAATGCTCAACACCTTGACCGCCGGATCTGCTCTACCGGACCACAAGCTCAAGCTCAAGAAAAGCTTCATCGTCATGCTTCTGCGCAATCTCGATCCCGCTATCGGTCACGTCAACGGCGCGCGATATGTCATCGAGAACATGACTAACAACCTGCTCTTTCTACGCGTTACCACCGGGTCACACCAAGGCAACAGACTGTGTCTTCCTCGAATGCCCTGCGGACCAGGAGACGACAACTTTCCCATCCCTGGCTTCACCCGAACGCACTTCCCCATTCGCACGTGCTTCGCCCTTACAACGAACAAAGCGCAAGGCCAATCCTTCGGTGGCCGCATTGGTCTCGACTTACGAGATCACTGCTTCTCGCACGGTCAACTCTACGTCGCACTATCAAGGACTACTCACCCAGGGAACGTCACTGTCCTCACTCGAGAGTCCAATGAAACAACGCGAAACATAGTGTACCCCGAGGTCCTTCAGTAGTTACCAAAAAAAGTAAACGCCATTGTCTTTACATCTTTTCATTGCCACCCTTCCCAAATAGTGTTCCTCCACGCTTTCTTGGCTCGGCGCGCGAAGCGCGCACGGAGCCCACTTGTTTACGTCTGAAATTATGGACGGTACATACAGCAAATCTACAGTGTAGTGTCTGAGCGGTTATTGAGGTACATACGAATTTGCTAGGCTTTTGTACCTCAGAGCTCAATTACCATCATACAGTATGAACTCGAATGAGACCGAGTCTCTGACTAAAAACCCACTTTCTTCCTCAAAACTCCTCCAACCCATGAAATGTCAATGAACTGAATCGCATGCCTATTGGGTACTGTGGATGCGTCATATTAGGGCGTTCACATCTGTCGATTATGCCGAACGCGACACAGGAAATGTGATTCAGACGCTAGTGCAATGTCAGAAAAAGCAAGAGCTCAGCACGCAACATTTTCAAATTTCCAATGCTCTGGTGAGAGAAACAGCTCTGGCCCTGGTAAGCGTAGTGAGTATTTGGTAGCTGAGAAGCAGTGGAGTTGCTCATTCAAAGAAGCCAGAAATAGAACATAGATACATGGGCGACCGCTTGCTCTCAACGCAAGGCTCCTGATACTGTTCCCATTCATTTTTTCTGAGATAACAACTATTGTACTGAACCAACATGACAGGGGTAATTGTAATGCTTTGATTGCAAGGTTCTTCCTCCAAGGACCAGGCATTCGAGCTTGGCGGTTTTGGGTTTGACATCGCCAAGCAGAAGTGTTCGGCTGTCATAGTTACTAGTAACTTCTTTACAAGCGCACAGCAGCACTTCCAGGCCGGTTACAAGATTCTCGTTGACCGACACACCACACACTGCAGCTTGCAGTATTTCCTGAAGCCTGCAGAGCTTGGCGAAGTAGAAGCCGTTACGATCAGTTGTGTAAGAAAAGATTGCGGAAAGAACTTACACTCACTATAATACAGGGCTGTACAGAGGGTACAGAATCACTGCAGCACTGTACTGCTTGCTTACACCAGTAAAAATATGTGCGGTGCGGGTTTTTCGTGATTACTTTTTGGTGCGGCAATGGCAATGGCTAACCCTTGGAGATGGGCAGCTGGCATCTATGGGCAAAATGAATAATCACATCGCGTTCAACACCTTCCAATCACCATTGCCTCCTCCCATCTATAAACGTTACGTCAATTCCCTCGGCCCGACCCCAACAGGAAACCTGCCTCCATTTAAACATTCTCGGCCTCCACTTTACCCATCTGGCCAACCTGGCATCTGCGTAGCATTTCGGTCTTCTTGTACGCCCTCACCTCATGGACAGAGTTGGCTTGCGGCATCGCCTCGGTGCTACGAAAGCACCAGACCCGGTCTCAGATCAATCCAAGCGTCCGCCTTCATCCATTCCTGATGCAGAACCCAAGCCTTTGGACGAGCCGTACGAGGCAACCGTTGCCGCCGCTTTTATCAGTTCGAAAGGAACCGAACTGCTGCATTTCGCCAAACGAAAGGTCGAGGAGAGGGGGATTAAAACGAAGCTCGTCACCACTGAGGACAAGGAGCATAATGTTTTGCTTATGAGTCTTCCATCCGGCGAAATGATGAAGATTGCAGAAGAACTCGCGATCAGGAAAAGGGATCTTGAAGGATACGTACGAACCTTTCGCAGCGCGGATGTTGACATGTTCACAACGAATCCCGACGCGTCCGACTTGTTTACGCAGAGTGAACAAATCCTCCTCATCGAGTACTGCTTAGACAAGATTAAGCCGGATAATACGTTTGACGATGTTGTTGGAAATGAGAGCATTCTTGAGTGGTGTCAGCGCCAGCATTATCTAGAGGATGTGTTTCCTCTGCATCACCAGCAATCCGCTAAGGATATCATGGCCGAGCTATCCTTCTCTTCCCCGCTTTACGATGTTGGTGGTATCTCCAAGCTTCAAGACTATTTTGGAGAGAAGGTGGCACTGTACTTTGCGTTTCTGACCTTTTATACAAAGACACTGGTATCATACGCCGTAGCAGGAATTGCGGTTACAGTCGCATCCACTTTTATGAATAGCAAGGCTGCATTGCTCTTATTCTTGTACAGCATTTTCGGTGCTTTGTGGGGTGCTTCGCTGATCAGTTTGTGGAAGAGGCGCAATATTGAGATTGTCTACATGTGGACTTCTCTTATAATGGGAGATTCGTCGGATGAATCCCTTATGTCCATGACGAAAAAGGAAGATCTCAGAAACAAGTTCTTCGGCATAGAAGTTAGCCATCGCATAACTGGCGAGAAGATCACTGTATTTCCGAAACGTCAAAAGCTCGTACGGTACCTCCTTTCTGCTGTTGTTGTACTTTTTTCTCTCTTCGTGTCGTCGAAGCTGATGATGGCAGCCTTGGATTTTGAAGATACAATGAATCTGTGGCTTGAGGACAAAGCCCATCTGTACAAATGGTCTTCTCCGTTTATCATGAAGAGAATCGTTTTAAAGAACGTACCTCTGGGTCTTTACCTCGGGTGTTTGAATGTCTTGGACTTTGTGTATGGGCTTGTTGCTGAGAAGCTTACATTACAAGAAAACCACAAATATCACTCTGAGTATGAAAATAGCCTTGTTCTCAAACTAGTCCTATTCCAATTTCTCAACATGAACGCAGCGTATTTATACGTGGCTTTTATCCGTCAAGACTACCTCCGACTTGCTTCATCCATTAGATCCGTTCTCATGATCGAACTCGTCATTGGGAATGTCAAAGAGACGATCGTCCCCATATTTTTAGCGAGACGGAAGAGGAAGGCAAAAATGGCTGAAGCTCTACAAAAGAAAAAGGAAGAAAATCCAGATCTGGCGGACACAGAACAGTTCGTGAGCTCTTCTGATCTTGATCCCATTTCAACTCAGCTTGATATGGACCCGTATGATGGCGTCTTCGGCGACTACTTTGAACTCGTACGGCAATTCTCTCAGATCACACTGTTCGCAGCTGCCTTCCCTTTGGGCGCTCTTCTGGCCTTGCTGAACAATTTCATCGAGATTTTCACAGATTCCTACAAGCTTGTCTACATGACGCGCAGGGCTTCTCCCAAGAGGGCTTTGAATATTGGAGCTTGGATTAGAGCATTTGAGTTTATCTCGATAACCTCCGTCTTGACCAACCTCGGCATCATCACAGTGACAGCCAATTACGCCAGCGCTGTGGTGGGTAAGGGAACAAGCCAAACGGAGGAATATTTCTGGATGATTGTGGTCGAGCATGTTCTGCTTGTGGCACGTTTCGCCTTTATGACTCTGTTTGAAGGAATCCCATCTTGGGTGCGGGACCAAAGGGCAAAAGAGCGATTCTTGGCGTCGAAGAAAGACGCAGCCGGAGCTCCAAGTCCCAGCTGATCACCGAGACTAGGGTTGGTGAAATGATTCGATGCCACATCAGCTCTTTAGAACGCACCGCAACATGTACAAAGTGCAGAACTATGTTGGCCGCTATTTTGAAGTATGCTTGTCTCTTCTGTCGAAGGGCATGTACTGCACGGAACACTAGTAAAAGAGGTTGTTATTTGTAGAATGATTTATACTGAATGGCTAGGTTAGAAGTGCCTTCGGAACTTGAAGTCAATTGGAGCCACCTCTAATGCGAAAGTCATGGCCGATAGGCTTTGCTGGCGGAGGTAAAGACGTGCGAGTTGTCGAAAATTGGAGAATATGTGTCGTTTTGGTTGTTATCGGCCAAACCTCGTCTGTCGTATCCATGATTCTCCAGGTCATGACCTGGCATGGATGCGATGCGGCTATGTATTCATGCACATTCCAGTCTTGAAAGGGACGTCTGCGGCAAGTCTCAGTGTCAAATTTCTTTGCCGAGCAGGCTCCAAATAATGGTCCCATTTAAGCTGTTAACTGAGCTCTAACGTAGTACTCTGTACTGCCCAAATACATCGTTGCATTCAATGTTTTCCGCAAGTGAGTTTTACGAGACCGTAGCATTTACGACGAAGTCGTCAATTGCTTCGAGCCGAAACTGCTCACTTCAGCTTGTGCGACAATGTTCGACAAATTCCGTGACCTTGAACAGCCACTGTAGTGCGCGGCATGCTGCCGAGTATACTGTAGTTGTTAATTAAAACCTGAATATGTATTAATTATCGCTGTTGATATATCTCGCGGAGCCCTTTTCGCTCGTTCTCGATGAGATAATCTCCAATCCCGTGCCAATGGCTTTCTGCTTATCCTTTTCGCCGAAGCAGGATGACCGAATATCGTCCAGGCGTGTACAACTGTGCGGAGTGCGACCGCAAGCGAAACGAGCGAGAGGACGAACACCTGCTAGACATATGAAACAGCCCGCCACGGTTGTCAACAGTATGGTTCCATCACTATTGTTGACCAACGTTGGAGTCGCATTGGGACTAAATAGCGCATTGTTTGTGGCTGCAAAGGTGCTCCAACAGCGGATCCTTACGAATGCTGGTCTTCTACATGCCTTTGGACTCGGAGTTTTGCTTTGGTCGTGTCTGTCCTGGCAAGGGTATTCATTGTGTTTCAGTTTTCTAGTGCTAGGCTCTCTCGCCACCAAAATTGGCAAAGAAGAAAAGGAGCAGCTTGGAATTGCTGAGAAACGGGGAGGTGCTCGGGGGCCAGAAAATTTATGGGGAGCCGCTGGCGTTGCAGCAATATGCGCCATTGGCGCCTTTGCGTCGAAGCTTGCGATACCGGACAGTTCCGGTGCGATGGCGAAGGTCGTTTACGACACGTTGCTACTTGGATACACAGCGTCCCTGGCAACAAAGTTGTCTGATACAATAGCGAGCGAAATCGGAAAGGCGTACGGGAAGACGACGTACCTTGTGACAACGTTTGAGTTAGTACCACGAGGCACGGAGGGTGCGGTAAGTTTGGAAGGCACTGGTGCGGGTGCATTAGCATCACTGGCGGCTGCTGTGTATTCGCTGTACGTCGGTTTGCTCGGGGGCTGGACGGATGCGTGGATCGTCGTTCTGGCAGCGTTTATAGCGACCACGGCTGAATCATTCATTGGTGCGGCGCTGCAGGACAGGTTACAATGGTCGAACGAGTTCGTGAATTTTGTTAATACGGCGATCGGGGCACTGGTGGGCATGTCCGTGAAGTTGGTGATGCTTAGTTTCTAGTAGTATCTTTATGAATACATAAGTCAGTATCGAACAACGGCACTAGTGCGCGGTGCACAAAAAAGGCGAATGCCCCGGTAATGGGGGTCACTTGAACTGTGGATGAGTGCTGGTTTCTTGTTGCCCTGAAGCGTCCAAGAAGAAGAAACCGGCAGAGTTCGGTTGAGTTGAAGAGGCTCACGTGTGATGAGAATAGAGAGGAAGAGGATTAGAAACCGGAGGGGCTTTGTCCGGTAAAGTAGATTATGTTAAAGCCTCGCAGTGAAGTCTCACTGTAGACCTGAAATACGACGAACCATGAGGTGAATGCTATTGTGTATAAAATGAGCATGAAGCGAGAATTCTTATAATCTGCACCGTTGCAAGTTGAGAAGACAAAGAGAGCAAACAGAGAAGAACGCGGTCATGATCAATCAGTTCGATGAAAACGCGTAGACAGCATTCATGAAGACGATAAAAAGTCAGGAACACTGTGGCTGGTCAAAACGGTTGGGTAAGTATGAATGGAATGGGAGGCGCGGGGGTGCAAAACGAACACTTCTTGATGACTGGGTTGGGATCAGCGCTCTTGTAATCCTTGTGGAAGTAAAACAGGCTAACAAGCCAGAGCAACGGGAGTGCGAAAAAGCCAAGCAGGAACATTCTTCTGGCGTTTTTCTCGAGGGCTTCAACACGCTTTGCCTCAGCTATGATCTCTTTCTCCTTTTTCCTCGCCTTGCGCCGCTCTGCACGACGCCGACGCTCTTCGATATTGGCAGGGGTGTCAGAGACGTCCTCGCCCTCCTCTGCGGCGCGTTCCTTCCATCTCTCGGCTTTGGCGCGCGACTCGGGGTCCTGTGGGGCACGATGGGAGGCGCCCTCACGCTCCCAGGGGGCGGCTCCGCCTTCGGTGGGAGCCGCGATAGGGATTATCTCTGCGCCTAGAGGCAGGTTTGTTACTGCTGCGCCCGCCATGGTTTGGTCAGGGAAGGAGGGGGGATGGAAGGAGGTGAGAGGGTGGTGCGTGGTGTGTAGTGGCGGGGGCGGGAAGTTCTGAAGGTTTTGAAGTGTCCGTCAGCGGTAATGCTGAAGGAGAGAGAGTGTTGAGGAGGGAAGGACCGAAAGGATGGTCCGGAAATGCAATGCGCCTGCGGCTAGACAGTGGATACGTGTCCCACAGTCGAACTCTGTCAGGGGGTCAAGGTTTGGCGGGTCTTAGCTCTGTTGTAAATAAAGATGTAAGGTATATGATAAGGTACACATTAAGTTAAACAAACGGCATACACCGATGCTGTAAGTAAAGAGACGTTAAATTAAAACAAAGGACAGATTACAGTTACAACGCTGCTTACAGTAAATGTTTACTCGATAAAATTCCTGACATTAGAGAGTTTACGCAGTTCGATATTTCGTGGCAAGGAAGGCAATTTTCATTACACGTAGTCCACGATGCCATCTCTTACGAAAACGCCCTCCGAAGCCATGTCATTTTTCGTCCAGAGAGCCGATCTTGCGAAAAGCAAATGGTGACGAATCCGCAGATCCCCGCCAAATCTGGAACACAACTACAAGGACAGCCCTTTCACCCGCCGTCTATTCTGACGTCCCACAGACCCAGGGCATGGCGGATTTTCTCCCCTTATCCCAAAAACCTGCTACTGAATCAGAATTTGGCTCTGCTTCTGCACCACCAGAGCGACTGCAATCACTTGCCGCCGGCAAGCTTGACGCGGCAGCCTCTTCCTACCTCCCAAGCACTTCCTCCGTACGGGAAATTCCCACCCGCGAAGCCATTCAACATCCTGGCCCCTTCTCTCGACGAACCGCAAATCCTCCCGTGCAAGCTCAAAGGGTCCCGATCCGTCCATTCGGCAACGCCAACAATGCCGTCTCCCCACAATTTCCTCCCGATCCCAACTCCGTTTTCTCCGCCTCAGCTCTACCTTTACCCTCTGATCCTCTGCCTGTTCACCCACTACATCAATCGTCGGTCAACAAATCGCCAGCGGAAACCGTAATTCAGGCTGCTCCTCTCCGAACGTGCTCGCGCAATCGACGCTTTTCGTACAGTCCAGCGTGTGATCTATTGATACTAAAAGCCGTTAGCACAACCAGTGCACAACTGGCAAACCATGGCGAGACTACTGCCAGGTTTCAAGAGACAGTTGAAATGATGTCAGAAGCTGCTGCCGGGACCAATCGTGAAGGAATGGGATCGTTAACATGGAAATCTGTGAGAGACAGGTTCAAAAAAATCATTGCAGATCGCCGACGAAAGAACACAAGCAACTTGAATGCATCAGGAATTATTGAGGTTAGGGGGGAGAAAGAGGTACTTTTGGACGATCTGTTGCTCGAAATTGATGAGCATGAAGAAAGCAAACGCATAGAGAAAGAAGACAGAAATGCCAAAGAGCGTAGTTTAATGGAGGCGGGGAGATTAATTCGCGCACAGGCGTTACAGCGGCACATAAACTCCGGCAGCTCTCGCGGATTGGACTCAGCTGGCGAGGGGGCAGTAGACGATGAGGAAATATCAGCAAACGCCGAACGCAGGAAAAATACCAGTAAACGTCGCCGCGTGTTGTTTCACTCAGACGGAGAGGAAAAGGTACTCATGATACAAGACATGGAGGCACGCAGGGAAGCAGAAAAGCAAAGACTGGATTTAGAATCTAGACCTCTAGAACTGGAGCAAAAGCGCGAGCAACGACAACAAGAAGCCTCTGAACGTCTTGCCAAAACCGAAGAACGCAAAATACTAATTGAGGAACGAAAAATTGGGGTCGAGGAACGCAAAGCGGAAATAGATATCGAGGAACGAAAAGAGGCCATTAAAGAACGCAGTAGTCTAGTCAGCGTTCTCACAGCACTTTGTAGAAAGCTTAACTATTAGGAATCCCTAAACGAGTTTACTTCTCACTGTTTTCTGTTGATACAAAACATCTAAGCATGATTAGGAGGTTGAAAATATCGCTCAATCGAAGGTGCTTTACAATCAAAATATGCTGACACTTGCCCTCCATGGCCGAAACAGCACTTAACATTGCACAGAAGGGCTCCACAAATGTAAAGCAAAGCAATAGGTGACTTTCTGACTCTCAAATTTCTTTGAAAGTCTTGCGATGACCACATCTGCTTTATGTCTTTGTAAGACCACTCCACCGCCTCCCAGACCGCACTCATAGCTTTATTGTAGAATTGCTGGGCTGGTGTCGCCGTCAAACGTGGGAAAGCAGTCTGAAGCCAGGGGCGCATAACATATGCTGCATCTCCATAAATTGAGAACTGCCTATTATCCAAAACCATAGACTCCTGCAAACTGTTTTCGATACCACTGTTCCTCAGCAGTGTAAGATCGTGACGACGCCCCTCCTCTGGACCATACATGTGTAGGATCAGCCCATCAGGTGTGGTTATGGTTTGATACACTAAACAGTGCATACGCTTATGACCTGAGTAGCAGCTTCGTTACATAGCACCTTCACCTCCTGGATGACATATCTCAATCTTAGTGCAGTCAATAAATCCGATGCAACTATTCAGAGGAGCTCCTTTTTCATGTTTTGCGTTTGACCAATCTATCGCCCTCTCTGCTATGAGATCAGTTCTCATTTCGGTAATGATATGACCCTGGTCTTGTACGAAGACTTCGACGACTTCCCAAAACACCTCACTCATTTTTGATGCCCTCATACCGAATCGGGTCTCTAAATCATACCAACCACAAGGTGTTGCAAGCTTACTTAGGAAAATACAGCATGCGGTCACTGTGTCACAGTGATACCGAGACCGAGTTGTCAAGCCGCCATGCCACCCCATTATGTTCGCAACAGAACAAATTTCCTTTGGGAGAAACCGAAATTGAGTCATTGCGTCTAGCTCGCTGTACGCATTAAGGTTGAAGGTAGCAGACGAAATCTGCAAAGACCTCACTTGTATTTTGTGATAATCTCGCCGAGAATGTTGGAATTTTCTGTATGCCCTGTACTTGACAAGAGGAACAACATCGGTAGGTAGAGCTGCGTAGAACGCAAGGCGACGGCTTTTCAAACGACGTCGAGCAACGCCAATTTGGTAGTCTTTCTGCCTCATGTCCTCTCTGATTGTGGGTGGCGTTTTTCAGCGAGTGTGAGCGTCGAAGGGCACCCCTCGTTCTCATATTTGTAGTCACAGACGGCTCTGCGGAAGGTGAATTTCCCGAATTTACACGTGTCTGTTGTGAGTCACATTTCCAAATTTTACGAAGTCATATATGCAGTGCGTACACTCTCTATTTACTCGCAAGCAGATTAACATTTACCTGGTGTCGAGTTGATGGATGCGAGTACAGGGGGGTCTCCTCAATAGTTCGCTTTACAATAGTGCACATGGCCAAAAGTGCACCCCTTTCAGCGATGTCACAACTCTTGCCACGTGTGCACCTGTGCTCGTGGAGCCATGCCGATGTAGATGCACACCGATGTGCTGCGGTTGACGACCACGACCGAACACCCCACCCCGACCACCGATGGCGACCACCGCGACCACCGCGACCACCGACTTATCACCAACAAGCGCGCAAGAAGCAACGTCAAACGCTCATATCGGAGCATTTTGTGGCCGGTAGGCCGTTACCTGTGGATAAACCTTCATTAGTTCGCGCTGTCAGTAGTGCGTATTTATTGCTTATGGCACGAGGGTGCACTATTGAGGGGTACCCACTGTAATTGTTTACTCGGTGACATTTCTGGGTAAGCATTTACTCGCAAGCAGATTAACATTTATCTGGTGTCGAGTTGAAGGTTGCGAGTAAACGTTTACTTGGTAAAATTCCTGAGTAAACATTTACTCGCAAGCAGATAAACATTTACCTGTTGTCGACGTGATGGTTGCGAATAAATGTTTACTCGGTGACATTTCCGGGTAAACATTTACTCGCAAGCAGATTAACATTTACGAAGTGTCGAGTTGATGGTTGCGAGTAAATGTTTACTCCTTAAAATTCCCG